ATCGGGCCGGGAGGTGCGGGCGCTGACCTCGGCGGCGGCGGCAGCGGCGGGTGGACACGGGATAGAGAGAGGGTGTGCGCAATACCGGGAGCGGTGTACAAGCGGCGCGGCGGCGTGAGGGCGGTGGCGGCGCGCAATGGCAGCCGTGCATGGCCGGAGGGCGGCGGGGGCAGGCGTGTGTGTTACGCGCTAACGTGGCGCGCGGGCGCGTCTTGGTGGTGCGGCGGCGCGGCGGCGGCGTGGCGGCGGCGGCGCGTGCGGTGGCGTGAAAGCGGGCGGTGGCGGCGTGGCGCTGGCCGGATCGGGCCACGGGCCTATATTTGCCTCTGCTGCGCCACCGACGAGTGGCGCGTCACTGCCGCGCGCTTTGATGTGTGCGCGTCACAGCCGCGCTTCGGTGGTGGTGGCGCGAGCCGGACACGCCACCGGTCGGCCCGGCCGCGCCATCCACGTAGGCAGCCTCGCCGCGCCCCCATGCATGGCGCGGCAGAGTTAATTTGTCGCGCCGTGCGAATAGGTGCGGCAAGTGTTAGATTTGAAAGAAAAAAATAAACAGTGTTAGTTTTAAAATTAGTTAAAAATATGTTAAAAATAAAATAAAAATCACCAAATCCCCTTGGCCCTTGACGGCCGCGGCTCCTCGGAATCGACGCCGGTTCGCTACTGCTTCACCAACGTGTCCGGGACCGACCCCCCGCTCATCGACCCTTCATTCCCGTTCCTGCCCCACCGCGAGCGGGAGCACGTCGACCTGGTGGACAGCTGCAACGGCCTCCTCCTCTGTCACAGCTTCAGGTACACCGAGGAGGACGAGTTCGACTACCTCGTCGTTAATCCTGCTACCGAGAAGTGGGTCGCCGTGCCAGTCTCATGGCGCTGGTCGAATAAGGTGCAGACGGTTCGCCTGGGGTTCGACCCAGCGTTCTCCTCCCACTTCTACATCTTTGAGTTTCAGTTGGATGTGGATGATGAAGATGATGATGCTGGGGGCGGCCATGTCCTACGGGTGAAGATATACTCATCTGAAACCGGAGTTTGGTGCCACAAGCAGAGTGCCTGGAGCTTTGAGTTTATACCACAGTATGATTTTAAGAGTGTATTTGTCAATGGTGTGCTGTATGTGATTGCCACTGGGTGCGTAATTGGGGCAGTGGATGTGAAGGGGGAAACTTGGAGGATCATTGATTTTCCACGTTGCAAGGATTCACCATTCCATGATAATGGTCCTGGATTCATTGATCTGTCCCAGGGGAGATTGCATCTTGCAAATGCGGATGATATGGTCGGGGATAAGCTAGCAATCTGGGTCCCTGAGGATAAAGACAGCGATGAGCACACAGTCTGCTATAAGCGTCTGGTCGGAAGGAAGCACGTCCACTTTGGATTTCATGAGTTTATTGTTGTTGCTATCCACCCAGACCGCAACATGGTATTCTTTGTTTTTGGTCGTGATGAAAAAACACTAATGTCTTATGACATGGATAGCGGGAGTGTGCATGTCATCCGTAATCTTGGACACATTGACTCCGACTCTGAATATTTTCTACCATATGTTCCCTTATTTTCCAAGTCATTGCCAGATGCTGCGAAACAGTAATCTGACTTTCTCAGCACCGCTCGGGCTTTGCTGATGTTTCGTAGCATGGTCTTCAGTCGCTGCAGCAGCTACTACTTATACATATTTCTGATATTGTTGTACTTTTGGTTTATCCTTGAGTACACTGATATGACCTCACTTCATGGGGCTAGCTGTTTCAGTTAACTTAGTAATTCTACTTGCCTTTATCTAATCATTTGTGTATGAAGTGGCATTCGCAAACTGCTTGTAGTACTTGACAGTGTACGCTATCACCATTTTGTGGAGCCCGAACCATGATTAATGCCTAATGTGTATGTTAAGCTCCCTTCTTATACCTTCTCTTTACAGTACTTTGTCTTGCATTGTGACTTATTATGCACTCAAATCTAATTTCTCTTGTGTTTTCTTTTCCTTTTTTAGTATTGTGGTCCTTGTGTCTAGTCAGATATTTATTTTTCTCTTTGCATATGGTAGTGTAGCCTACCCCAACTTGTTTGGGACTGACAACCTTTGTTGTTGTTGTTATTGTTGCATATGGTAGTGGATGTATTACTGTGTGGGAATATGTGGTTTATATACTGTCGAGTTCCAAATATATAAAAATAATAATACCCAAGTTGTGCCCGTCTGGGCTAGGAAATGCTAGATTCCACATGTTCATTGACTGATGACTCCTGACATAATACCAATTTGATAATAGATGTTCTGAACTGGTTTATACAACAACAACAACAATAAATAAAGTATTTAAGTCCCAAACAAGATGGGGTAGGCTAGAGTTAAAATCCAGCAGAAGCAATCAAGGTTTAGGCACGTGAATACCTGTTTTCAAAGCACTCCTATCTAAGGCTAAGTCTTTGGATATATTACATCCTTTCAAGTCTCCTTTTATTGCCTCTACCCAAGTCAACTTCGGTCTTCCTCTGCCTCTCTTCACGTTACTATCCTGGCTTAGGATTTCACTACGCACCGGTGCCTCTGGAGGTCTCCGTTGGACATGTCTAAACCATCTCAACCGGTGTTGGACAAGCTTTTCTTCAATTGGTGCTACCTCTAATCTATCACATATATCATCATTCCGAACTCGATCCCTTCTTGTATGACCGCAAATCCAACGCAACATACGTATTTCCGCGACACTTACTGTTGAACATGTAGTCTTTTCGTAGGCCAACATTCTGTACCATACAACATAGCAGGTCTAATTGCCATCCTATAAAACTTGCCTTTTAGCTTCTGTGGTACCATTTTGTCACATAGGACACCAGATGCATGGCGCCACTCCATCCACCCTGCTTTGATTCTATGACTAACATCTTCATCAATATCCCCGTCTCTCTGTAGTATTGATCCTAAATATCGAAATGTATCCTTTCTAGGCACTACTTGACCTTCCAAACTAATATCTTCCTCCTCCCGAGGAGTAGTGCCGAAGTCACATCTCATATACTTAGTTTTAGTTCTACTGAGTCTAAAACCTTTGGACTCCAAAGTCTCCTGCCATAACTACAGTTTCTGATTCACTCATGTCCGACTTTTATGAACTAGCACTACATCGTCCGCGAAAAGTATACACCAAGGGATGTCCCCTTGTATGTCCCTTGTGACCTCATCCATCACTAAGACAAACAGATAAGAGCTCAAAGCTGACCCTTGATGTAGTCCTATCCTAATCGGGAAGTCATCCGTGTCTCCATCACTTGTTCGAACACTAGTCACAACATTGTTGTACATGTCATTAATGAGCCCGACGTACTTCGTTGGGACTTTATGTTTGTCCAAAGCCCACCACATAACATTCCTTGGTATTTTATCATAAGCCTTCTCCAAGTCAATAAAAACCATGTGTAGGTCCTTCTTCTTCTCCCTATACCGTTACATAACTTGTCTTATTAAGAAAATGACTTCCATGGTTGACCTTCCGGACATGAAACCAAATTGGTTCATAGAGACCCACGTTATCTAAACTGGTTTATATTGAATAAAATATAGCTGTCAGCGATATAGAACACGTGAAACCTGTATGTAGTATTAATCAATTATATTTTTTTCCTTGAAACATTGGCCAATTTTTTTGCCTGCTACATTCTTCAACGATTTTGACATTATGCTTCTTCAAATATGTAACTTAGCATTTCTCAATGTAGTATATGTCATTTCATGTGGAAAAAGTAGCTTTTGATTTGATTCAAGAAGACTTAAGATATTAGTTTCATTTTGTCACTACCAAATTTATATGAATTTATTCTTTCATGAAGTAAAGCTTTTGTATGATGAGATATTCTTTGTTTACTCTATGTTTGAAGATTAAACTCGATTTGAAGTGGAACGATGTTGATCACCTGAACACAAAAGTGTGCAGGTGCTGGTTTCTTGTGGGCCAGTTTCAACAGGGACACAGTTTGTATGCAACCCAGAAGTGTGACGAAACTATATTCAGTTGAAGATTGCCTATTTAAAACATCCATGTTTTCATGCAAGTAAATTTGACAACACGAATTTGCTCTGTCGGCTTTTGTTTTGCTTATTTGGTTTGCAGTCAAAGTCAGAATGGACAAATGGGATGATAGTTGACAAGGTTTATAATTTCTCTTCTTGGAATTGGTTGCTCACTTGCTTGTCTTGCATTAATTCTAGTTGAGTAGTCCATTGTTTATCTGCCTCCGTGTTAGAGCGACAACACAAATTCAACACTCTCAACTCTGGGTATACAGGTTACTCGTTTCTGATCTGAACTTGTTTTGGGTGTGTTAGGTTTCAAAAGAAAGGCATTTGGTGTGTGCTTGGTCTAGGATTGGTTTTGTTACTAGAGATCTTTTTCTTGGTGTTTACATCTATTGCATTTTGAAGCTAAGCTTTGTAGCCCACGCTAGCCTGCAAGAAGATATATGAAAATTCACTATCGGTTCAAATTGTACCAAGGAAAAAGCTTATGTTGCTTCGTTTGGTGCTTTCCATTTCCATGTGAAGATTCAGACATCCAAGTTTAACCAAATTCTAGATCATGATATTAGCACCAGGTGTCACTCCATTTGGATTTCAGATCATTTACAATCTCAATGGGAATGGACATTTAAATTTAATTAGATCCCAATACTCTATGACCTGAAAACTTTATTTTAATAACAATGGAATAACAATATCTCAGCCCTGTTACATCTGAATATTATGAAGCTGACAATTGTCACAACATTTTCGCTACAACTTGTCCTTGGCAGGTAAAAGACAAATTTCAACTTGCACTGATGTCTACCATTTTCTACACAATGCTATCGCCTGTGCAACTTATTTTGTTCAACCACCTTTCTCTTGCTGGAGTTCCCAGTCACAAACAGACCAAACCTATGGTGATTATGCATAGATGAATATGTCAACTATATGTGTATACAAACATAGGAAACACAGGACCAGCCCTCAGCTATCAAAGAGTCATGGATTTCCAATCGCTGTCGAACTTCCGGTGCTGCAAAACATAGGACGAGTAATTTGTTACAGAAGAACTTCTGGTCCTGGTTGAAATTGGAACAAAGGGATGGTGGGTGCCTGGGAAAGCAGTAGTACCTCTGAGATTGGCATTCGAGTTCTCACAGCCTCAACTTTTGATAAATCAAGATCTGCAACTGCAAATCCAGTCGAGAGCCGATCTGCAACCACATTTTTTTAATCAAGAAAATTGCATCAAAATATGTGTAGAGACAGTTGTTTCACAGGTCTTCGGACAAAAAGGGCACTAGCATAAACATGCAGCATGTAATACACGCCAATTGTGTTCCACATCAAGCATTTCATCCTAACAAATATAGATAACTGATGCAGCATTAATAAGTAACAAAATGAGGCATTTGAAGTAAAGTCAGATAAATCATGAACAAAGAAGTCCCAGTGAAGATACACAAAAGAATCTTAACTCAAAAAAGTAAAGAGATGAAAAACATATACCTGGAAGTCGAGCTATCACTGTTCCCCATGGATCAATAATTATAGAATCACCATAGCTTTCTCTTTTTTCATTGTGCTTTCCAGCTTGAGCAGCAGCAATAACCTACAAATGGTTTCGAACACTGTTGTTTTAAAATCACAACAGAAAAGCAGATGTTGTATAATTGGTCCGGCATTAACTTTTTATTTTATCTATCTCATGTTGCCAACAAAATTGGGCAACATGAGATAATTCGATTTCCAAATGTGAAATGTGTGCCACATGTCAAAGAAGATAGAAGGGTTTGATTAACATACATAACATTGTGTCTCAATTGCACGAGCACGGAGGAGAATTTCCCAATGTGCCTGCCTCCCAGTTATCTTTGTGAATGCAGATGGTACTAGTAATACCTATGAGACAAAATTAAGACAGGATCACAATTCACAAAATATGCATCCCCTCTACACTTTCTATGATAGGATGGCATATTGGCATCCAATATAATCAATCATATTTCTTGTGTGAAGTATATTAGAATGAGTAACCACCTGTGTTTGATGCTTAAATCGCAAAATTTGATAAAGCTCTGGGAATCTCAAATCATAGCAAACAGTAAGCCCCAACCGTCCAAAAGGGCTATCCACAGCAACAATTGTATCGCCTAATAAGTAATAAGAGAGAGAAAACATCATATGGAATCAATTGCAGTTCAATATTACAACAGCAGGTACTACTTCATCCAAGACAGCACTATTACAGTACTACAGTAAAACAATATTCTTTGAGCCAAGCCAACAGGACGTTACTTCTACCACAATATTTTGCTCAACATAAGATATTCAGAAGTATAAGAATAAAAAGGGGAAGAATTGTTATAAACAAACTGCTACATGCAGTTCTTGAACAATCTCTAGGGGTCTGAATGATTTTGTATTGTTATAAATAGAAGAAAAAATTTAAAAGAACAAAGATGAGCAAAAGCATAAAATTTGCTTTTAATCGAACAACCAAGAGAACTGCATACCATTAGAAGCATATATTTTGTTCCAAGAGTAAATTTATATTTATAAGCCTGTTATGAGTATATTGTACATAATTTCATGGACTCATTGCCTGAAAAAACTAATGTGTAAAATTCAATCATATAGCAGCAGTTTGAACCAACGACGAAAAGTTTATATGTATTAGAAACAACAGATCAATCTCTGCAAGAAAACAGATATTTTTTGACATATATAATTACCTGCAGTTGTGAAACGACTTTCCTTGTACACCATATTGCCAGGTACATCAACATCAAACCTTCGCCACAGAAGATGAACACACAAGGTGCAGTGCAGCAATGAGAAAATAGTAACAAGGAAAGAGAAAAGGAAGAATTTGACAGAATATTCGTAAATATACTTCTGTGCTAGGACCAGTATAGCTGAAATGTTTTCATGTCTTTGAGTTTATCACTATTAATGGTGTTTCCCTAATTCAAGAACAACCAACTCATAGTGCTGAAATAATGAAATGTGGCATCGTGTTTGCTCACTGACACAGATGGAAAAGAAAATAACATATTTTTTCCCATAACGGGATGGACCCCAGTTTCATTACAGGAGCAACGATATTACAGTTTTCTGCGAATATCATATCACGTTTTACCCTCAGCAATACAGTGTTCCATCGCCTACTGAGCTAGCAAGATGTACTAAAAATGACGATGCTGGAGACTCTAAGGGCCTCAGAACTGGCCGCCACCACACCAACAAAACAACTCAACTGTGATTTCAAATGACAACACTGCCAGCAAAAGCCACTACAACATTATATAGAAAAACAGAACTATCACTAAACATCATAAAGATGTAATGTAAATAAGTAAATGGGTGATCAAGGCCATTAACAAAAGGTGTAGTAGGGGTTTTCTGTGGCTCAGGCGTGACAAGGTTAACGGAGGCTTGGGAGAAGATAGAGCGGCCACTTCAGTTTGGAGGGCTGTGCATTCACAGTCTGGAGAAACTGGATTGGGTTCTTCGCATCAGATGGCTGTGGCTTGAGAAAACAGATCCTTCCCGCCCATGGGCTGGGTTTGCCCATTCAAGTTCCTCAAAATGCCCGAGTTTTATTCAGTATGACTATGGAATCAATTATTGGCAATGGACAGAGTACCTTGTTCTGGTTTGATAGATGGCTAGGCCAGAAGACAAACCCTGAAATGGCTCCTAATCTTCCCAAAGTAATTCCCAAAAGACCTATGAAGTGTCGCACAGTGGCTCTTTCTGTACGGGTCCTAAGAGAGTATATTCTCGTTTGGGATCTGGTGGATGGTTCAGAGCTGCAGCAAGAAGTACAACAACAACAACAACAACAACAAAGCCTTTAAGTCCCAAACAAGTTGGGGTAGGCTAGAGTTGAAACCCAGCAGAAGCAATCAAGGTTCAGGCACGTGAACAGCTGTTTTCCAAGCACTCCTATCTAAGGCTAAGTCTTTGGGTATATTCCATCCTTTCAAGTCTCCTTTTATTACCTCTACCCAAGTCAACTTCGGTCTTCCTCTGCCTCTCTTCACGTTACTATCCTGACTTAGGATTTCACTACGCACCAGTGCCTCTAGAGGTCTTCGTTGGGCATGTCCAAACCATCTCAACCGGTGTTGGACAAGCTTTTCTTCAATTGGTGCTACCCCCCTAATCTATCACGTATATCATCGTTCCGAACTCGATCTCTTATTGTATGACCGCAAATCCAACGCAACATACACATTTCCGCGACACTTATCTGTTGAACATGTCGTCTTTTCGTAGGCCAACATTTTGCACCATACAACATAGCAGGTCTAATCGCCGTCCTATAAAACTTGCCTTTTAACTTCTGTGGTACGCTTTTGTCACATAGGACACCAGATGCTTGGCGCCACTTCATCCACCCTCGCTTAGATTCTATGGCTAACATTTCATCAATATCCCTATCTCTCAGAGCATTGATCCTAAATATCGAAAGGTATCCTTCCTAGGCACTCCTTGACCTTCCAAACTAATATCTTCCTCCTCCCGAGTAGTAATGCCGAAGTCACATCTCATATACTCAGTTTTAGTTCTACCGAGTCTAAAACATTTGGACTCCAAAGTCTCCGCCATAACTCCAGCTTAACTCCAGCTTGATTCACTCATGTCCGGCTTTCATCAACTAGCACTACATCGTCTCATGAAAAGCATACACCGAGAGATGTCCCTTTGTATGTCCTTGTGACCTCATCCATCAATAAGGCAAACAGATAAGAGCTCAAAGCTGACCCTTGATGTAGTCCTATCCTAATCAGGAAATCATCCGTGTCTCCATCACTTGTTCGAACACTAGTCACAACATTGTTGTACATGTCCTTAATGAGCCCGACGTACTTCGTTGTGACTTTATGTTTGTCCAAAGCCCACCGCATAACATTTCTTGGTATTTTATCATAAGCCTTCTCCAAGTCAATAAAAACCATGTGTAGATCATTCTTCTTCTCCCTATACCGCTCCATAACTTGTCTTATTAAGAAAATGGCTTTTATGGTTGACCCTCCGGGCATGAAACCAAATTGGTTCATAGAGACCCACGTTATTGCTCTAAAGCGATGCTCGATAACTCTCTCCCATAGCTTCATAGTTTGGCTCATCAACTTAATTCCCCGGTAATTAGTACAACTTTGAATATCCCCTTTATTCTTGTAGATCGGTACCAATATACTTCTCCTCCATTCGTCAGGCATCTTGTTCGATCGAAAAATATGGTTGAACAGCTTGGTTAGTCATACTATAGCTATATCCCCGAGGTATCTCCACACCTCTATTGGGATAACATCCGGTCCCATCGCCTTACCTCCTTTCATCCTTTTCAACGCCTCTCTGACCTCGATTTCTTGGATTCTCCGCACAAAGCGCCTATTGGTGTCAAACTCACGAGGTCTGGAAATTGTTCCAGCAAGCCTTCCTATAATGCTCTCTTTATGGATACAATTTGTTTTGCACCTTGAAAGAGAACTTTACTTGGGATCCACTACGCTGCAAGTTCTTCGTGTGGCTTGCTGTGAGAAATTGGTGTTGGACTGCCGATCGAGTTGCCAAGAGTGGGTTCCACATCCTGCTGCCTCCTTGCTTTGTAATCAAGCTGAGGAATCAATCCAACACATACTAGTCTCTTGTGTTTTTGTGGGAGGTGTGGTGCACAATTCTTCAAACTCTGAGTCTGATCGCCATGTCGCCACAGCCCAACACTAAAAGGTCGGTGCCCAACTGCTGGTGTCCATCAGTCAAGTTGGTGCCCATGGAAATTAGGAATGGCCTGGGAGATTTGGAAACACCAGAATGCGTGTCTTTGATGGTGCAAGGATGAATGTAACACTGGTGTAGTGGTATTACAGGCCATTGCAATGAATGAAACCTTGTGGTGTTTAGCTGGAGCTAAATGTCTTCAGGAGTTGCTGGTTAGGTCATCCTCATGGATTTGGGGCGGCTGAACCCCTTTGGTACTTCTGGTCATCTTTAGCTTTCTCAAAAGGTGAGAGGTCTAGCCTTCAGTAGGTGGAGTGTGCTGTGAGTTCTTGGTTTGTGTGTGTTGCAGTGTTTTGTGCGCGTGAGTTTTATTTGGAACCCTCCTCACCATGTACTCTTTTTTCTTCCTCAATGAAATGATGCACAGATCTCCTTCATGTTCGAGGAAAAAAAAAAGATGCAATGTAAAGTTCAGAGACTTTGTACAGTAGAGAAAAAACAAGTGATTAAGCTCCAGCTATTTGCAAATATTCCTAAAAGCATGTTTTGGCCAAAAATGCGAACTTGAAGAACTTACAAATGTATTTTTCGATATGAGCTCCTAACTTTTCCAGTATCATCAATTAATACATGAGTATTGTACTGGTGAGAATCATCAGGTCCCTTTTCTTGAAAACCCCCAAGAGATAACCACATGCTTGATTCTCTGCCAAGTGAAGCTTTCATATGTCAAGTGCAAATTTCATAGTAGAAATCTGTATGTATCAAAAAAATTGTGAAGACTACCAAATACGCAGTTAAAGTGTAACATTGTTAAATATATGCTTGGGTGCATACATAGGGGCTAAAATATGTCTTTGTAAGCTAAAACAGATGGACAGGGGAGTATAACATGTACAAATGATAAAAAAAAGGATATGTGAGGTGACAAAAAAATTCAATTTAGACAACCAGAATATAGATACCCTGAATACAGGAGCATTTCAGGAAATTAAATGATACAGTGTATAGTCTATGCACATTGAAATGTCACAGACGTGAAATATTAAAAGAAAAGCAACAATTTTGTTCTCACTAACTTTGCAAGTGAGCAATATCTCTGCATTATTGGCCCATCTAATGGTTCAGCTAGTTTAACAGATTCGCCATCCTTGGATCCAATAAATGAGAAGACCTCAGGGAAGCAAAGAAATTTCACTCCAGAGGCAGCTGCTTCCTAAATTAAAAAAATATATATATTAATGTAAGCTTCCATGTTAGTCTACTCAGCATTATTCATATATAAAAACCACGAGCAATAGAAGAAACAGCTTAAGAAAACCATATTACAAAAGCCAGTAAGGTATGAATATGGGCAGTACAATGAGGCTACTGTCGTCCTAACTACAAAGAACTGTCAGTCTTATTGCCAACAGGTCTGTCAATATCAGATACACAACATTGTGTACAGCTCCATCTTTTGCAGGTTGATTAGCTGTCGTACCACCAAGGAAAGCTGGTTGCACCACGCTGTTGAACTATGACAATCGTGCTTATCTTCAAACACCATACATGTGTGCTCTCTCAAACTATAGTTGACACAGTAAAAGCAACATAACGTTCTAACCAGCAAGATTCGTTGACAATTACTCGTCTTCGCGTCCGTGTTTACGTGAAATTGGAGGGAAATTTTGCATACCCACATGAGCATTTATCCTCTTTCATTATAGGTTGTATCAGTGATAAACAAATTGCATTTCCGTCATCACAATCCCCACCATCCAAAATACAAAACAGCCCCATTTTAACACGAACAAGTGAACAACCAGGTGCAGGACCAAGGCACAGCATCTGCTCTGCATCATCACAAAGCTACTTAATCATCAGTTGCAGACCACACCTACTACGCCCGGGACGGCACGGCGGCGGACCAACCAGCGCTAGCCCTGTTAGCGGCGGCGGCGGGCAGTGGCCTATCTAGGGTCTAGGAGAGGGGACGGGGATACTAGAGGAGGGCTTGCCTTGGTGAGGCGGGAGCAGGTGGCGTAGTTGGCGTCGACGTCCCCGACGGAGGTCATCTGTACCACGCCCACCCTCGCCGGCGAGGCCCCTGTGGTCGCGCTCGCGCCTGCGGCGGCGGCGGCGGCGGAGGCCATGGCGCGGCCGACGCGGGAGCGGAAGCGGAAACGGAATCTCACCGCGGCGGAGGCGGCGGCGGTTGGGAGCGAGGCCGCGAGGGAGGCAAGGGCCATGCGGCAGCGACCGCGACTCTGGCCGGGTCGGCGCCTCGTGCGCGGGTACACTCGACCGGGTGCGCGTACCGGCGGTGGCGGAGTTCACACTTGGACCTTTCCAGCCGTTGGATCAGATCAGAGGGGCATCCTCTGCTCGCCACCGTTGGATGTGAGAAGACCGCATGCGATGCGTTGCCTTGGAGGACCCACCTGCCAGGTGGAGGAGTCACCAGCTCCCGTCTCGTCACCCGGCGCCGTTGCTCGCCCGCTGATACGCCCGCGCCGTCTCTGGACAGCAGAGGCGAGGAATGGAAGTGGAAGGGACGAAATTTTCTGCCGAATTTTGTTTTCATATATGCTATAAATGCTAATACGCTACTACAGGAAAAAAAAATGAAGTAGTTTTCTATTTCAATCTCGTCAACACATTTGGATTGAGATAAATATAAGTATTTTTTCACTCCAATTCGTATAGACTGTGGTGGCTTGAAGTATAGTCAACAAGCCGAGGTATCGTTTCACTGCACTAATTTACTCTCTACATGTATTGAGATGTTTTGAAGGAGGATTGATGAAAAACTAGTTACTATTCTACTCCAATTTACTGGATAGAAGTGCAGCTAAATAAGCTTTAAATTTATATCTCTCTTGTCCCCTCTAACCCCTTTAGAGATCAACCGAACAACCACTTAGAGTGTTTTAGGATGAAAGTCAAGAATGTCTTATTAAAATTTGATATACGTATAACCTTTAGTTGGCATTTGGTTCTCGTCAATTTTTTAGGTGACAAGTGGCCACCGCCGCGCCTGCTCCCCACGCACACTCCTTCTCCATGCATGTGCGCACGCTTCTCCCTCTCTCCGGGCCGTGGCGGCAAGTTCAACAAAGACAACAAGGGTTCCGCTCCTTCCCACGCCAAGACGTGACTCCCTCTCTCCCACGCGACGGCCGAGTTTCACAGCGGCACACCGGCAGCGCTAGCGAGGTGGGTCCTACTCCTCCTCCGGATCTGCGAGTTAGGGTTCTAGCGAGCTTCTCCTCTCTCTCTCTCCTTTCCCCACATCTTCCCTAACTCCAGTGAGCTTCTCCTTTCTTCTTCCCAACTCCTAGTAGCCTTAGAAGATAAGGGTTTTGAGGGAGAAAGGCCGGCCGTGGTGAGGATGGTGAAGAAGGCGATTTAGGGACCCCAGTGTAATACTCTCGGTGTTACGCCTTAATCAAAACACTAAATTGTATCATGAGCATCATGTTTATGTATTATTGCATGTGGTAAATGAGAAATTAAATTTTATTACACTAATTCTCAAATTGAGCTCTAATTTATTCCTTGTCCAAATACTCTCATTTCAGCTCAACTCACTATTGTCATCCCCGATCCAACTCCATCTCTCGTTATTCATCTTCTTCCTAATCCCATAGAGCACGCACAAGGCACATGCTCTTGTAGCCCACGCAAAGACGCTGGCATGCAAATGACAACCGATCGTGAGTAACAAACGATCGCACGTCTTTGCCGGCCGCCATAGTGTGTCACACATGCTACCATTAATCTCACTCACAAAGCTCGGCCCGGCCGAAGCACGCCGCCGCTCAACGCTTTCGGCAACACGGTTACACGCACCTTTCCTCACGCAACACTGTAGCAGCAGTGCGAGAAACACTGTGCACACGGGAATACTGTTCACGTGGAAAGTACTGTTCATCCGAGAAATACGTCAAGCGCCAGCAGCTGCTTTTGACATGTGGTCTCCTCCTCCATTGATTCCTTACCGCTCGTTTGCCTCCTGCATGCCCCAACGAACGTGTTCTTTGAGCGGGACATTTTTTACATGTGGACCAAAAGCGAGCATGAGTAACACTACCGTCCACCAGTCTTCACTTGGCATGCAATAATGCACATCAGCACTTGCAGGACCAGCTGCGCCGTGCGCGTGTGACGAGTAAGTCAAACCCACTCTGCCAGGCACACCACTTTGCGGCATGGGAGCGGATGACAACCCCGCCAACTCGTTCCGTGCTTCCGGACTACCCTAGCTCGTCGTGACCACTCACCCGATGCTATATATGGTTACTTTTCCGCTCCAGCGAGTGCAAGCAATTGCTAAGCTCTCTGGTGTCTCTTTTCTTGCATTGCCTCCGCACATCGATCACCAGTATATGGTTACTTGCTCCATCATGCTTGAGGCAAGCAATTGCTAAGCTCTCTGGTGTCTCTTCTCTTGCATTGCCTCTGCACATCGATCACAATGTGAGCGACACTTCGTTCAATTCCGAGGTAGCTAGCCTACAAGAATTCCTTCATCATCCTTCTCTATTATTTCTTTGACCCGGTCCCCATCCAAGATGTTCTAGACTCACGTCAATGCGTCTTTGGTCAACAAGTTCAATTGCATGATTAGCCTCCTCCAATAATATCATTTTCTTCTCTCTAGAGCTCATTTGAATTTATTTCTTTATTTATTGTGAAATAAATTTTGTTAGATTCCTAAATTCTTGATCTATCTGTTGGTATATTTTGTTCGTATGGTTCTGCGATGTTTTAGGGTTACTTATTAATTCTAGGTTGCTTGTTATTATTATGGTTATTTAGAGAATGATTTTTTGTGATGCATTGGTAGAAGTGCTAGCCCTAAAATTCTTTTACAGTAGGTTTATTGTATTATTATGTGCTCGCAATAATTTTTGTGGCCTTAGAATAGGTTGATAAAGATGGTAGCTAGTGCACCTTGTTTTATCATATATATAGTAAATTGATATTAACAATAAGGATGCCTTGCTAAGATAATACATGAAATGTTTCATACCTGTTTAGTGGGAATAATAGGTGACTTTGTGTATTAGTTATTAGAGTTAGTTTAGTAGCTTGGTAGATGTATTCTTATTTTAAGAGTTGTTGTTGCCGTATTACTAAGCGTTGTGTCATCATCACTGCATGCATATAGAGAACGAAGCCACTTGGAGATCGTGACCTTGGCGAAAGGTGAGTACAAACGGTCGTCGAAGAGTACGAGGACATCCTCGTGTAGGAGGACGTTAAGAGCCTGCCCAATCGACTTTTTTCTTGACACCACGCTTTGCCCAAGGCAAGCCCCGATGCATAATCCCTATTTTTACTAATCACCGAATATGTATATGATGTGCATTTACGTTACAGGTATTTTATGAAAACTACATGCATAAATATATCTACTCATGAGTCCTACTAGTACAGGTCGAGTAGCTGCTATGCTTAAGATCTCGGTAGCGTGAGTAACCTACCATTACTCGCAAATAGGTAACAAAATATGATCACTCATGATAAAATGGTGGAAAGGAAAGTGGTGATCGGGCAGGGATATGGTTTGGGTACTGGTGGGTGTGAGGGGTTGTGTCCTACGGTCAACAGGGCATAGCTCGGTTACACTTTTTCCCTGCCTGTGTCGATTAAGGACCGGTCGTTGCATATGGCTCTAGGCAAGTCACAGATCTATTGTCCCGAGTACATACTTGGGTATGGACGCAGGGAAGGCTTGTTGCTCTCTTGTTGTGGATCCGGCTCTTTCCGGACTGACTGATGGGAAAAGGAGGTGGTGGAGGTCCTTGCACCACACTGAGTCCAGGACTCAGGATGTGGGGGCTTGGAGTCCAAGTTTGGATGGGGACCTAGACACCTAGGACAGGAGAGTGATGGGTTAGTCCTGCTTGTGCCTGGGGTACAAGCGGGGCGTGTGTCTTCGGGGCACCCAGCTGAGCACATTGATTCGTGAATCGCCGGGAAATCCAGTACGGCTTGTCTGCAGTTTAGCATCGTAGTAAGAACTGGAAGTTGAAAGGAGAAGAAATGGAACTGATTGCTCAACTCTTACTTGAAAGTAGAATAGGTGCTTATATAGACTGGCTAGATGATAACTTAATACGGCCGATAATAATACATAAATAAGGACTCACTATTAGTATTGCTTTCTGCTAAAGAAAACCAGCAAGCCATATAGCTTATCATATTCCTTGGAGTCGGGAAATTATTTCCACTAGTCGGATAAGTCTTGTGAGTATATTGTGTACTCAGGGTTTATTTACCCTTGTTGCAGGTGATGCTTGAAGAGTACCTTTGTGTGGAGGATCCTTCTGGTGGGCTCAGACGGAATCCTCGCCCCTTACCGCTAGATGTTATTTTTAAATTCCGCTGTTATCATTCCGCACTCTGGTATTTGGTATTATAATAATATACTTTTTAAGAAACTCTAATGTATGAAATGGACTTGTGTTGTAACTCGTTCTCATTATTGGATCCTTAGGGAAAATGTGGATCTTTCGGGTTCTCCCTCGGGGTGTGCCCGACGGATACCGCCCGCTGTAGCCTGCTTTCGGTGTGCTTAGTGTCTGGTGGAAGATGAGCGCCTTCGTAAGTGTGCTATTTCGGATGGTTCTACCACAGTTGGTACCAGAGCCAATAATGGTTACGAGTTTTATCACTCTTTTTCAAAACTTAAAAATTTGACCAACAAAAGTTTTGCGAAAAGTAGGATGCGATTATATTAGGTAAATAAATATAAGCCCTAGCAATATGGTATATCTAGGATAGCGGCACTGGTTTTATCTAATCAGTTTTCTGCAGGTACACTGACTTACGTTGCGTAAGAAATCGCTTAGTATATACTGGAAAGTGAGTGTGCAATGTGCCGAAAAAGTTTTCGAATGCCGCTATATTCGCTTGAGTGAGCGTTAGGTCGAAGCATGCATCATGATAATAGCATCTTACTAATTGAAATCCCCTTCACGTATAATTGAATTAGTAAATTTATAGGACTAACTAACGGAATGCTTTAATAAATGTCCTATCATTTCTCTAATCCCTTGATTCGATCGGGAGGGTGCTCTAATGGATGGTTCATATCTCTTATAGATGAATCTAAGG